ATGGCTCTGTCCGTGCTGGTGACCATCGAGATGTGCAACGCTCTCAACAGGTCAGACTGCACTGTGAACGCATCCTGCCAGCACTCACTGCCACACTGTTAGTGAGCAATACACAATATCCTCCCTAGGGGTGAGGAATACATCAACTCAACTCCTGAACATATGTGCATATTTAAAGTACTTTAACATTATTATTATATTTTGACATGCCTTTATTAAAAGTTGCTTACAATAAGTGCAATAAACCATAAAGATACACACTCATAAAAACAAGAAAAGTGCTGAGATACTCACTTCAAATAAGCCCAACCATTGTAAGTGCTGCTGCATTAGTTTCAATAGTTTTCATTTGCTGTATTTATGGCACTCTTTACTTCTTTCCACTACAGTTCAGTAACAGAATAAGGGATTTACTTGTTTACAATTAGCTGATAATACTCTTGTACCTTCAATTAAATTGGGGATTTAAAAGCAAAACTTTAAAAAAATGGTTGACACTTCTCCCACCCCTGATCAATGATGTAACAATATATAACAAGTTAAACTTAGCTCCCCATCTCTGTAATAGGTACTTTTAAAGCATTCGTCATATCTATAAAGCAGAGGATCATGTGCGTTCATTGATAGTATACATTTTGAAACTATGTCTATGGTAGGAACACAACATGTTAAGGACCTCCTGTTTCAATATTTACCATATTGATGTGTTTTTACATCCTTTTGTACACATTTATTTTACTTTTTCATAAGCCCTCCCACATGTTCAGCCTGTATTAAATCCCCCTCCTCTCTCCTCCCCCCAGCCTGTCAGAGAACCAGTCTCTGGTGCGCATGCCTCCCTGGAGCAACCTGTGGCTGGTGGGCGCCATGACGCTCTCCATGTCCCTCCACTTCATGATCATCTACGTCGACCCCCCTGCCCGTGAGTGCCCACCTTCCACACACACGCACACGCACACACACACACACACACACACACACACACACACACACACACACACACACACACACACTGTTATGGAAATCTGAGACCTAATCAATACTGTGGAGATACACAAGTCAGAAATATCAAACAATAAATGGTGAAACAGACAGAGTTGTCTTTCCGGTTATTTATTTGAAGCTTCAAAGACACAGGTCTCACAGAACACAGAGTATCCTTAGAGAGTGCGCCCAGAGTAGAAAATGCATACAGGTTATATAGGATTTTGGTCAGTTCCACAACATCCCGTCACTCATTAGGAGGGGCCCTGGCAGGAGAGATAAGCTTTCCAAAGGAACTGAAACTGTCAATCACTAATAGATCGAACCAGGGGCCTGTTCAGCAAGAGGGAAGTGAGGAAACTTGTCAGCAACAGATGGAGGGCTAAGAAATGGGGAACTTGATTATAAGACAGGGAAACTAAACAGGAACTTGCCCATTGCCCTGCGCTTGGTACCCAGCCCCCTCATCAAGTTCAGACCTCAGGCGACCTTAAATGTCACTTTCCAGGGAGACAGAGGACATGAACTAAAACACATCACCCAGACCTTACTTCGACATTTTTAAAGGTCATGAGTGTCAATACATCATTACAGACACACTTGCAAAATGCTGACAGAGGTCCTAAGCAGAAATATATTATTATAGAAAATGCTGAAAGTGCTAGTAAAGGTTACAAGCAGAACACATCATTCTAAGAACTGCAGTGGATGTGTCCATGTATGGTCTTTATAGAAAGTCTGCACCATAAGAAACCTTAAACTACATGTAAACAAAGTTTGCCATTACAACACACACACATTAGCACGGTATAATTACAGTTATAAGCACTCTTAAATATTCAAAATGCTATAAAAGTGTAATCATAATGCATTTGATTGATTTTATATTGTGTTAAAGGTCGAGCATCATAATCAGATTATCTGATTATAATGCAATGTAAAAAGAAATATGAAAACTATAGGAATTATAATAGACTTTGATCCTTGCAAAAATAAATGAGTGATAAACTTTGAAGTAATTTGACACTTTTAGGTCTTCATTAAAAGCTTTATAACGTGTTGAGATTATAGGTAATAAAGTAATAACATGAATATTCACGAGTGCTTATGTTATAACTATCCAGTGCTATAAGCAGAACATGGTTTATTGTAAAATACATTACAGAGGTGTGGCGTGTTATCATTTATTCTCTTCTTTGCATGTATTGAAAAGTGTATTCACGGCCATATGAGCATCCATGTTACTAGTATCTGTGTAATGAACACACAGCTTGTTTCTAACTGGACGTCGTGCGTGTAGTTTCGCAGCTTCAACTCTTTCCCCTCTCTGGTCCACAGATGATCTTCAAGCTCACTCACTTGAACGTGGAGCAGTGGCTGATGGTCCTGAAGCTCTCCTTCCCCGTCATCCTCATCGACGAGGTGCTCAAGTTTGTGGCTCGCACATATCTGGAGGGTAAGCTCAACATGTGACCTGTTCCCTGTATGGTGTGTTTTATATAGAAACAGTATGGGGGGGGGTAACGCATTTCTGGAACAAATATCAGTCTGTGTTATGAACAAGAAAACATGTGGTTAGGTTTAGGGGGGAAGTTTTTTCTTAACTTAGTTTTTATTTCCGATTCAGTTTCATTATATATACATGTTCACATTCTGGTGGTCAACAGTTTTTCCATTTTCATTTAGCTGTATCTGCAGAGCAACATAACAAAAAGGAAAAAAGCACAAAAAGAGATCAATACAAATAATAATAAAATAGACACATGAAAAGATAAATACATACAAATAATAATAAAATAAAACAGCAATCATCCGTTCGTGTGTGTGTGTGTGTGTGTGTGTGTGTGTGTGTGTGTGTGTGTGTGTGTGTGTGTGTGTGTGTGTGTGTGTGTGTGTTGAATACACATTTTGAGATAGATTTAGACATAACTAATGCTGATCACATTATTATTTAAGAGTGTCCTAAACACTTAGCTAAAATGTTATTACAAGATGTACATTTTAAGAACACACAACTTCATCTTACTTTAACATTTCAGCCTACAAAGCTGTGCCCCAACGTCTAATTGTAATCTATTTGTACTTATGTATTTGAACTGTTATTCTATCCTCTCTGCTTAAATGTAATCTTTGATGATATGTCTCTAACTTTCCTCTCCTTGGTGCTTTTCTCTCCTTCATTCCTTTTTCTGACAATCCAGTCTCCCCTTTATCACTAGCAGGTATTCCCCTGACTCATGATACAGATTTAAGCATGTTGTGTTTCTCTGTCTTGCAAATGTTTCTGGACTAATGCACGTGGGTCCTCCTGTTTGGCTGGAGGTCAAAACTGGTCTGAGCATCAAACAGAGTATTTGCATGGTGGAAGTTTGGAAATGTCGTTTAGGTTATTGCTGACAGATGCTTTCGATCCTCTGAAAGTAGGAATAACATTAGCACATGTTGACTATGCATTAAAGTGACCAGACTAATAATGTGCCTTTTGATAACAAAGTTGATGCAGATTATTCCTCACACTGACCTTGTATGCTTAGGTGTTACATGTAATAATGTTTGCCTGCTTTTGTGACATGACTGATAAATAATGCTTATTTTCTGGTGACCTTACTTGACTCTTGCACAAGGTGGGGTAGTTTTCCACCTAGTTAATGTAGAGTTTAGATTTGTTATCTTTATTTATTTACTTTAAATTGAACTGTATTTAACGTCAATCTCCTACTATATGACACTGGTAATATGTAAAAATGAGCACTCTTTGAGCAGGAAGTTACTGGTTTCGGCCAAGAAATTGTTCCTATACATTTTTCATTTTTAGAATTTAAACATTGTTGAAAATAGTTTTCTAAAAGGCAGATTTTGTTAACTTTGACAAACACAGGCTAGCTGTTTGGTTCTGCTAAGTGATGCTAGCCAGATGCTGAAGGCAGTGTCCATACTCTCATCTAGCTTACTGTATCCAACAAATCAAATCAGACATCTCCTGTAACAAATGCACCCTTCTCTTTAACAATTCAACACCGTCACACTCCCTTTAGCTCACACTAACTGTCTTATGTTTCCTCTGCAGGGAAAATCTAGAGTCAGAGCGACAGGTGGAGAGTCAGGACGAGAGGTAGAGCGCTCTCACCGAGGAGAGCCCACTGTCACCTGACCTGATCAAAACATCTGGTGGCATGAAAACTAAATAAAAACACAAAGCCATCTGAAAATACACCAAAAGAAAGCTGCAAAATATTTTTTCTGTGTATGTACTGAAGTTAATATATAGGTGAGAGTTAAAAAACTATTCTGTGTTGATTCTATTCTTAAAGAATAAAGATATGTATTAAAGAAAAGTGCGACTCTGTATCAGTGCTGTGTTTTCTGTTGGTTTGAGTATATCAATTATCGATCGTAAAGGCAATCCAAATAACAAATGTACCTCGAGTCTTAAAAAAATGAGAGAAAGAGGGGAGGGGGGGCTGTAGCCCTGGGCGAGGCTCCATATAGGCTTCTCGTGGAAAATATAATTATATAATCCCTTAAAAGGTGGGGTAGGTAATTTTGGAGAAACCAGCTCGAGTGCGCTAGAATTTGAAAATACACGACCGGAGAAAATCTGCCACTTCCTCACAGAGCCCCTCCTCCAACACACACGAACACGCACATGACCAATGAGGGCACGAGATAAGTTTGTGCACAGATGGAAGGCTGACAGGCAGGTAGGCCATCCAGTTACTTTATCCGACCCGGCTCAGATGATTGGTCGTGCTTTTTACAGTGCTACGGCTTCCACAGATGACATTTCTTTATGGATTTTTTGTCAAAGCACTTCAGATATTCATTGCTATCGGGATGTTAAGAGCATTCCATGGAATATAACAAAAAGTGTATCTCGAGCCGGTTTCTCAAACGTACCTACCCCACCTTTAAACAAAAGACAATTAAATGAATACACAATTCATATGTTTTAAAACAATACATTTAAAGTAAGATATTTCGGCTCCTACATAGATGTTTAACAGTATTTCCAGATATTAAATAAGGTTTTGTTATTTAATAAGAATCACAACTTGCTCAATAAAACAGAGTCCTGTAAATATATGTTGCTTTAAACATAAAAACATATTTATGAATGTAATTTGTTTTCCATCAGTTGGTGCGCAAGACGTGGATCACAATGACAAACATTAAACAATGCGTAATTGTTATAATACTTTAAGACTCAATTGTATCTTATGTATAAATTTAACTATTGACATTATTCTATAACGTTTTTTACCTTTATTCCCCTGTGGTAAAGTTGAATTAGCAGCAGTCTTTTTATTAAAATGTCAAGATCACTCGTGTATTTCCAAAAAGGTTCAATGTAAATTAGGCTTCATAGTAAATGAAATCCTACATTATTAAAGGATAGTGTCGACCTGTTTTGCATGATAAGAAACTGCAATAAAAGCTGAGTCCAGATTGAGAAACGTTATCGTATTTCATTATGAAAGATAGTGACAGCCTATCTTATACTTACAATATGTATTAAAAGATGACAAAATGTTACATATTCACATTTCTTCATAGATTTCTTTTTGCTTGGCTTCTGTCCTTATCCATAAATCATATAAATGAGCTTTTAGGATTGTGTGGCAACGGGAGCAGTTCATGTAAAGCTCAAATAGACAACATATTAAAATAAAACCTGGAATGCAGTTCATTTAGGAGAGTTACTTAGTATCACTGTTATTCATTATTGCACTGTGATCCTTTGCTTCCAGGTCCGCCTTCACAATACATCGCATTTAAAAACTGATAGAGGGAAACATCGAGTGTTGGACTGTTGAGTGTTTTGGAGTAATGTCAGTTTAAACAAGAAAATACATTTACACATGTATTAGTAAAGGAATAAGCATGTTACTGGTGTAAGATAAAAGGAATGCAAATATTCTTAGAGAACATTCCAGGTTCACAAAAATCACTTTGGTCGTATTTCAAGTCTTTGACGCCTCTGAAACTATATATATATATATATATATATATATATATATATAATGTCTCTTCAGGAATATCCATCACTAGCAGAGTTCCTGACGGTGTTTCACGTGGTGGTTGCTGGTTGGTCCTTATCGGTCTCTGATGAGATCTTTTATCTCTGTTTGTACTCTTTGGTTCCAGTGTGACTGTCTGTGGCTCAGGAGGAGTCTGCAGGAGAGGAAGCAGCCTCCCTCCTCCAGGACCTCTCTGTGGCTCAGGAGGAGTCTGCAGGAGAGGAAGCAGCCTCCCTCCTCCAGGACCTCTCTGTATCTCAGGAGGAGTCTGCAGGAGAGGAAGCAGCCTCCCTCCTCCAGGACCTCTCTGTATCTCAGGAGGAGTCTGCAGGAGAGGAAGCAGCCTCCCTCCTCCCCTCCTCCAGGACCTCTCTGTATCTCAGGAGGAGTCTGCAGGAGAGGAAGCAGCCTCCCTCCTCCAGGACCTCTCTGTATCTCAGGAGGAGTCTACAGGAGAGGAAGCAGCCTCCCTCCTCCCCTCCTCCAGGACCTCTCTGACCTGCTCCAGAGTCTCCGCCTGCCGGATCACCTCCAGCCTCATCTGAGGAGCAGAGACACGTCCGTAACATATTAATACAATACTAATAACACTTGGGATTTTAACTGTATTAAAAACTACATTTCCAGCAATAATCTGGTTTCATCCGTTATACTTATACTCCACTGAATATATTAGAATACAGACAGTTTTATTACATATTGTTGGCATATGATGTAGTGCAATGTGCACATTTTTACTTTATGTTAATACAAATATCTAAGTTCTCTTTTATCTTCTCATCATTGCACATTTTACTTTGATTTCTTTGGTTTATATAAATATTTGAAATTCTATTTAATTGCATATTTTAATATGATTTTTTAATTTTTATTTGTAATTGTATCTTCTTAATGAACATGTTTACTTATGTTTGTAATACAAACATTTCTATACAATATATTGAGTTAAAATGTCACAAAGTATTTTTGATTGATTCTGAATTGTGACCTTGACATACACTGATGTGTATTAGATTTTGTAAATGCAGGAACAAGTTTGGCCCATTTCTTTCACTCAGCATTTTCTCCCTTCTCTCCTCAACTAAAGCTAAAGTCATCAAAGTTCCGTTGCCTCTCACCTGCAGCGACTGAGAGAGCTGCACGAAGTCTCTCTGAACCGTCTGGCTGGTGTCCACCTGGCTGCGCATGCTGATCACCTGACTGCGCAGCTCCAGACTCTGCTGCTGCAGCGCCGCCTGACAGGAAACAGAGAAATGAATGAAACGGTTTGAAAATGTGTTACTTTGCCAACTTTGAGTGGTATGATAAACAGTATTATTGTGATTATGTATACTATATATAATGCCAATGTGACCTGAATTCTAGATACATATCATTTATATATATATCACTTTGTCTTGATTCCTTAGCAGACTAAAATAATATATATTTGGCTGCCGCAACTATGAGAATTATTAAGAAATAGGTCAAATTTGAGGTGTGCATGTGTAATTTATTTGTTCCTAATCATTTCCTGAAACCGAGACAACATGTCATAATTTAGCTCCATGGTTAATTTTTTCACTTAGGAACACTTACTTTTTATTTCCAAAGCCTTTAACCACATCTTTTGGCCTTCTTCAGCAAATAAACTCAAACTACATCAACTAAGAAAGGCCATAAGAGGTGATAAAGAGTCTTTCAAACAAGTAAACAAGCAGTAGTTGGACCTATTTTATTTTATTTTTTTAATCGACAGAATGAAAGCAGGATACATCACCACTGCAGACCTCACTCAGACACACAGAGAGCCTCATCAGAGTGTAATGTTAAAGGCAGGCTGGACTCACCTTCTCAGTACTGAGAGTCTTGCTGGTGCTCTGCAGGTGAGACAGCGCCACCCTCAGGGCCTCCAGCTCGCTGCGGCAGGACAGCAGCTCCGCCTGCAGCTGCTCCTTCTGAGATGAGACCCTCTCCGTCTCCGTCTTCAGACTGGACAGCCGCACTGCACACACACAGGGACCATTAATACTCAAAGAAAAACTCATGGTTATAAAGAGTTGGCTCTCAGTTTGACCATATTGGTTGTGATAAAACTGGGGGAAATCAATCTGAATGAAACACAACTCTACACCACGCCTTATAATTAGGTTACCAGACTAATAGAAAACTGTTCACTCACCTTCTAAAACTTCTGATGATGGGAGTTGCAAATTGGTGCAGGCAGGAAGAGAGAATAAAACATGTTTTGGTGTCTCGATAGTCAGTGTTGAGGAAATAATAATACATATGAATATGCTCCACAGACCGTTCTCCTCTGTGCGGGTGTCCAGCTGATCCCTGAGGTTCACTATCTCGATGCGGAGACGCTCCTCACAGTGCGCCCCCTGTAGGTCAGAGGTCAACAGTCAGCACACACACCGAGAGTGTATGCTATGAAGCTGTACCTAAGCATTCATTACAACAATATAACTTTTCAACTCAGAAGAAAGCAAATAAACACTTTAAATGACCAACAGACGGTCAGGATACTTTCACAGTATTGCCAACATGGTTAAAAGATTCATCCATGCATGAAAGTTGGAAAATACACAATCTTTGGGTAAATTAAGTAAATGAGAGCCGTTATATTTCATTTGTTGCTATGTGAAACTGAACTTAATGAACTACATTCGAGTCATCCAAAATACATTATTTGACTAATTGTGCTTCAGTCTGTGCTGAAAAAATAGATTTGAAGTGACTTTTCCTTGGTGTTTACATACTGTAAATACAAACATGTTAGTTTTACCTGCAGTGTAGCGGGGAAGCAGTCGGGCTCATCTTGAACCTCCTCTCCTTTGAGTCTGGACAGCTCGGTGCTCACCTTCCTCTGGGAGAGAGACAACTCTGCCTGGACACACAGATGAGGATTCAAACACTTTTATTAGATACAATTGAAATCAACTAACCCTAAGAACATTTTAATGTCTACAATTTGAGTATTGTTCTCTAAATCGCAGAGTTAGATGTCTGGACTGTTTATAAACAGGTACAACCAGCAGCAGGTTATCTTAGCTTAGCATAAAACCTGGAAAAGGGGGTCAAAAGCTAATCTGGCAAGTACCTCTAAAGCTCACTAGAAAACAAGTTGTATCTCATATATCTTTAATCTCTACTGTTTGTGTAATGCAGTGGTTCTCAAACTTTTTCTGTCAGGCCCCCCCTTTGGAGAAAAAAAAAAAAGTCGGCCCCCCCCCAACACAAATAGTCAGGCTCAGTGGCGGCGCCAGAGATTTCTTTTGGGGATGCTGTGGGGTAGCTTGACGTTTCATAGAGGGTGCTCAGACATTTAGGGTTTCCCATTAATGTACCGGTCGCTACAATGGAATGTTCTACATTACATTGCATTTAGCTGACGCTTTTATCCAAAGCGACTTACAATAAGTGCGTTCGACCAACAAAATACAAACTTGAAGAAAACAGAATCATATAAGTACATCAGGCTTCATAGAGCAAAAACATTTCAAGTGCTACTCAACTGGCTTTAGATAAGCCAGCCCTTTATTAGTATATAAGTGCTTTGTTAATAGTTCTATCGCTCGAAGTGGAGTCGAAAGAGATGAGTTTTCAGTCTGCACCGGAAGGTGTGTAAGCTATCTGCTGTCCTGATGTCAATGGGGAGCTCATTCCACCATTTTGGAGCCAGGATAGCAAACCCACGTGTTTTTGCTGATGGGAACTTGGGTCCCCTTCGCAGCGAGGGTGCAGCGAGCCGTTTGGTTGATGCAGAGCAGAGTGCACGTGCTGGGGTGTACGGTTTATCCATGTCCTGGATGTAGGAAGGGCCAGATCCATTCGCAGCATGGTACGCAAGTACCATTGTCTTGAAGTGGATTCTAGCAGTTACCGGAAGCCAGTGAAGGGAGCGGAGGAGCGGAGTGGTGTGGGAGAATTTAGGAAGGTTGAAGACCAGACGAGCCGCTGCATTCTGGATGAGCTGCAGAGGTCGGATGGCACATGCAGGTAGACCAGCCAGGAGGGAGTTGCAGTAGTCTAGGCGTGAGATGACGAGAGCCTGGACCAGAACCTGCGTCACTTTCTGTGTCAGCTGGGGACGTATCCTCCTGATGTTGTAAAGCGTGTATCTGCAGCAACGGGTTGTAGCAGCGATGTTTGCAGTGAAGGACAGTTTGTTATCTAGGATCACACCCAGATTCCTTGCAGTCTGAGTCGGGGAAACAACAGAGGTGCCAATGTTGATTGTTAGGTCAAGAGTGGGACAATCTTTTCCCGGAAGGAAAAGCAGTTCAGTCTTGTCAAGGTTGAGCTTGAGGTGATGATCAGACATCCTCTGAGAGATGTCAGCTAGACAAGCAGAGATGCGTGCGACGACCTGGGTCTCTGAGCGGGGAAAGGACAGAATTAATTGGGTGTCGTCAGCGTAGCAGTGGTAAGAAAAACCATGCGGGCTAATGACTGATCCGAGCGAGTTTGTGTACAAGGAGAAGAGGAGGGGACCAAGTACAGAGCCCTGAGGGACCCCTGTAGTTAATTGACAAGGGTCGGACTCGGACCCTCTCCAAGTAACCCTGTAGGTACGGTCTTTGAGGTATGAGGTGAGGAGGGAAAGTGCAGAGCCTGAAACTCCAAGTGCTTGGAGAGTGCGAAGGAGGATCTGATGATTCACCGTGTCGAATGCAGCAGACAGGTCCAATAGGATGATGACAGAGGAGAGGGAGGCTGCTTTAGCAGTGTGCAGTTCCTCAGTGACAGCAAGGAGGGCAGTTTCTGTGGAGTGACCTGCCTTGAAACCAGACTGGTGCGGATCCAGAAGGTTGTTCTGATTGAGATAACAGGAGAGTTGTCTAAAGACAGCGCGTTCAAGTGTTTTAGACAGGAACGGGAGGAGAGAGAAAGGCCTGTAGTTTATAACATCTGACGGGTTGAGAGTGGGTTTCTTTAGGAGAGGGTTTACTCTTGCCTCCTTGAGACTGTTTGGAAAGTGACCAGAAGTTAGAGAAGTGTTGATGAAATGGGTGAGAAACGGTAGAATATCAGGAGCGATAGTCTGAAGGAGGTTTGAAGGGATAGGGTCCAGAGGACAGGTGGTAGGGCGGGCAGAGGTAATGAGGGTAAGAACCTCACTTGGAGAGAGAGGGGAAAAGGAGGTTAGTGTGTTGGTGGAAGGAGGGTCTGGTGACCCAGCGGTGAGTAAAGGTGAGTCAGAAAAAGAAGAGCGAATATCATCAACCTTTTTTTCAAAGTGGTTAACAAAGTCGCTTGACAGAAGGGAGGAGGGGGAAGGGGCTTTGGGAGGGTCCAAGAGGGTGGAGAAGATGGAAAATAGTTTTTTTGGGATTTGAATAGGAAGATTGGATCTTATCTTGAAAGAAAGTGCTTTTTGCCTGAGAGATCGAAGCAGAGAAAGAGGAGAGGAGAGCCTGATAGGTTAGGAGGTCGTCACGGTGTTGGGATTTCCACCATTTCCGCTCTGCTGCCCGAAGGACGGTTCTATTAGCACGCAGTGCGTCATTTAGCCAGGGAGCAGGAGGGGACTGACGAGCCTGCCGAGATGTGAGAGGACAGAGAGAGTCCAGAGAGGATGAGAGAGTAGAGAGGAGAGTTTCTGCAGCAGAGTTTGGTGGTAGGCGTTGGACCGAGTCAGAGGAAGGGAGGGCTGAGAGCACCGATGAGGCAAAGGTAGAGGGGGAGAGGGAACGAAGGTTACGGCGGACAGGTGCAGGATGAGAAGAGATTAGTTTGTTATGTTTGGAAAGGGGTAGAGAGAATGAAATGAAGAAGTGATCAGATGTGTGGAGCGGGTTTACAGAGAGGTTAGAAGTAGTGCAGTTCCTTGAGAATATGAGATCAAGGACATTGCCAGCTTTATGAGTTGGTGGGGACGGAGACAGTGAGAAAGCAAAGGCGGTTAACAGAGATGTTAGTTCGTCTATCTTCCCTGTCTGGAGGTTGAAGTCTCCGAGAAGTACAGCGGGAGGACCAGTTTCAGGGATGTGTGATAGGAGATGATCTAATTCCTCCAAGAAGTCCCCCAAGGCACACAATTCTAGAAGTCTCCAGTTGCTTTCCTGTCAAAATCTACTGCAACACTCCCCACGCAAATACACAGTGTACCCGCGACTGTTACAATGAAGGCTCGATAATCAGCTCACGGCATATAGGTGTAAGCAGGGGTAAAGTGCTATTTTTACAGGTGGTGTGTGGACCTAACATAGGGAAATCCGGGGGAAAGCTCCCCCGGGAAGATTTATTTCTAAATATTGAAGTTAAAAGCATCAATCTGGTGCACTTTGAGAGCAACATGAAGAGATCTATGGAAACATCTCTCAACACAGAACTGTAAACAGATTTACTTTTTGGATATTTTACAAATCACCCTTTTAAACTTTATTCTTTTTTTACTGTCATATAGTATTTCATACCTGTTTTTCATTTATTCTCTTATTTTTTTATAACTATAATGATCATATAAACGTGTGCCTCGGAAATAATTGTTTACATTAATGGTGACCAAAACGTTTGAGACCCACTGAGATAACTTAGACTAAAGTTAACTATCTAAACACTGAGAGAGTCCTTTAGCTCACTGAGCCTCTCAGTCTGACAGGAGAGGACTCTCCTCCACTTTGTTGTTGAAAAAACTCCTTATATCCATTAGCGTAGCTCGCTAGCACCGGAAGCTTTAATGAAACACAGAGACCCAGACGTAATAGTACAGTACTGTATCATATTATTTTCGAATCAATCATTTTTTTTTTTAAATAACCATTTTTCCTCCTGGTCTCTCGCGCCCCCCCCGGTCATGCCTCTGCGCACCCCCCACTTTGAGAACCACTGGTGTAATGTGTCCTAATTCAGACAGAAAAATTTAAAAACATGAGGAGGTTACAAGAAATACGTTTTGACTTGGCTTGGTGTGGATTTTGTGGAAACATCACCACCAAGGAAAAGTTTGACCGACATGTTTGAGGTATCACGTTAGCTCAGCAACAATCCTAATAAGTGTATTTCCCTAACTTTATCTCTTTATTCCATTCTCACACACACTCTGGAGGACCGGCATCACTCACCAGCCGACTCTGGACGGCGCTCTGTGATTGGCTGAAAGATTTCTGCAGATCCTGGAGGAGGGCCTCTGAGGTGTGGACCTGAGCCTGGAGCATTGACACCTGAACACACACACAAACAGAGAAACACAAATGAACATGCAAATAAACCAGCACGTAACATCCACTCCCACTCATTAAACATCACACATTAGCTCACCTGTTTGTGCGTTTTGTTGGTCTGTGTGTCCAGCTCTCGCTCCAGCTCCTCCTTCTCCTCCTGCAGCCGGCTCAGCTCGCCTCGCAGCTCCGACACCTGCACAACACATAACAGCCTCAATTCCTCATGTATTCATTTTTCTATTAGGACGGCAACTAACAATTATTTTTATTAGTTATTTCCATTAATCTGCTCATTGATTTTCAGTATAATCAATATTTGGTCTATAATATGTTAGACACTAGAGATTAATGTCCATGCAAGTTTTTACATTATAAGGCGATATCTTTAAATGTCTTTTTCAGTTCAAATCCCCAAAATATTCTGTAAAATATGAAAATAAAGAAGTAAGAATTATTAATCAATTATCTATATATATATATATAAATCAATATTTAAAAGGACGCAGAAAATCACTTTATTGACTCATCAATAATGAAAGTAGTTAGCAGTTGTTTTTCGACTAACCTTTCCTAACAAATGGAGGTGTTTGGTCAAAATGAATGAATTAAACAAGGAATTAAATGAACTAAAACTACACATTTAAGAGTGTAAGGATGCTTTCTTTATTGCTATCCAATGGCATGACTGTTCTTTTTTCTAAAAGTATTAAACCTAACATTTGGTGTCATCATTTTGAATCTGTACCTGAGCATTGAGGGCGTCCCAGTCTCCGTGCGGGACCAGCCGGTGTCCGGCCGGCGGCAGGTAGATGGCTTCAGGCACCAGGGTTCCCGTGGAGACCAGAGAGTCGGTGTCCTCCTGAGCGTGGAGCTTCCTGGGCAGAGAGGGCGTGTCTAAGGAGAAGGAGGACAGCGAGGCCGAGTCGCAGTGCCGCAGAGAGAAATACGCTTCTGACGTAGGAGGCGTCCCGTCTCCCTCCGTCGACACTTCGAGATCTGACGGCTGGTTCTGTCTCCGCTCCACCGCCACGGCCTCCGACAGGCTGTTGGTGAGCGATGCCGGGGATTCATTATTGCCTTTCCTTCCACTGATCTAGCAGGTAGAGAGAGGGAAATGCTGGGATTTAGTCCAGAACATATGGGACCATTTTGGAATAACACACATAGTTAAATACTGACCATGTTCTGCCCACTGGCTCTCCTCCACTCTCCAGACTGAGACTGGAGGACTGATAGCCTGGCCTCATACTGCTCTGCTGTCTCTGTACACACAGGATCATGAAATTGTGATTACATCCTCCAATCAGAAGAACAATATCCGCTTTGCCACAAAGTTTGAGAATCCAAAAAAACATTTATAAAGATTTTTTTTAGTAGCCCTCCAAAAAACATACAACATCTATTAAGAACTCAAGAGGAAAATAATGTAAAAATAATTATAACGTAGACAATTAATAATAATAATATGAAATATAATACAAAATAGCACCAGGATTTTCAGCCCATATATAGCGTGCATATAAGGATTTATGATATTCTGTGCTTGATTATGGAGCTTCGAGACATACTGTGATAAAAGGGGGCAAATAAATCAGGTATTCATCTGACTGATCAGGCATCACAGACTTTTCAATGTAAAAGATGAGAAGAACTTGTCAGTAGAACCTCTAGTTGTAAATATGTTTCTTTCCATTTGCAGAAATAATCATCAACACCAGGTGTTTGTCATTTAAACATTATTAAGGCCCGCATTTCTTTCTCCTAACAGAAGGAGTGCAAAAATAATCTTCTTATGTGAAATTAGACGATATGCACATGAGGACTGTCACAAACACACTGTGCTTCTCATGCATGTGTAACAATGTAGACACACACACACACACACACACGCTGACCTCTGAGAGCCTCCTGCAGAGACTGGATCTCTTGATCACATTGTTTCTGCAGCTCTGCCAGTTCCTCCTGTTTGCTCAGCTCGCAGATCGTCGCCACGCCCTGCCAGTGTTCCACCTGAGCTCGGCACTCGGCTAGCTGGGCCTGCAGGCTCGCCTCTGAAAAACCAGAAACAGATTGTATATTATTCTGCATTATAACTAAGCAATCAGACAAAACCTTTAAATACCTTACAACAAGATAAGAAGAAAGCCCACATGATGTCCCTAATCTATATGTCGAAATGTAAAGCACATTGGCATCGTGTAGTTTTGTAAGACTACGAAGCATTTATGTAATCATTATTAGGTGAGCACATTGTGTGTGTGTGTATTTTGACTAACAATTTCACAAGTGTATAGCCCATAAATGACTGCATTTGTCATTGTTTGAGTGTTTGACAGGGAACACAACCAATTGATTACATTGTTTAATTCACTGGGAGATCAATTAGGAGATCACACCCTATCTTCTAATGAGTAAATAAACTAAAGGCAAAGTCCCACATAAGCCAATGCTGAGTGTGCATGTTTTTCATTTCTTTTAAATGTATTCTCTATATATTCGTTCACGCACAAATGGAAACGTTTAGTTGCCTAAGATTTACAAATGCTTTGTACATTTTTTCATTATTGACGTTTGAATAAACATAAATCTTTTTTTAAAGCATGTTGTTTGAGCTACCAGGACTTCCAACCGTAAGGTTTTATTAACTGTTGCTGTCATTATTTTTAACAATAAGACAGTAGCAAACACAATATTCTTTATACCTACTTTATTTATATTGCTCAAGAAGAACTAAGCATATGTCTGCTTGTTTTTGAAAACTTTAAAATAAGTTTCAAGTCAGTTGGTTGGTGTATTAGCATTAACAGGGACATTAAGGTGCTATACACTGCTACCCAAGGACTGTCTCAAAAAACAGCAGACCTAGAGATCAATTGGTTGTAACACATGACTAGGTACAGTAGTCAGTCACATGTCTGATAATATCAAATAAAGAAGTGAAACAGATAGTAAAAAATATTGTGGTTTAAGCAGAGGTAGAAGAAGTACTTAAATAAAAGTAGAAGTTCAAAAGTTTATGAATACTCTGTTACAAATAAAAGTCCAGCATTGCAAATGTTACTTAAGTAAAAATACACTATTTACCTCTGAATCGTAGTGGGGTAGAAGTACAAAGTAGCACACATTGAAATACTCAAGTAAAGTAGTAGTATCTAAAAAGTTTACTTAGGTACAGTACTTGAGTAAATGTTACTTCACAGCACTGGGTTTAAGCTACAGGAGGTCCAGTTTTGATACACGTTAAACTGCTAAAGTGTTAGCTTGCGGCTAGCATCGCCCGTTCATTCCTATGGTCGGAGATGCTAACAGGCCGTTTTGTCGGTTAGCTGACCGGTGCTGCTTAACATTCAACAGGTTTCTCTCACAGTGAAGACAAGCAACACGTAAGCGTTATTTTTGTAATAAACGCCAAGCTCTAAAGAGGTCAGTATTCCCACGCAGACAATCCTGTTAGGAGTAAAGCAGATTAAAGTGTGTATTTACCTGAGTCTTCTTCACTCCTGGAGCTCATGTTTTCCTCAGACAGAGTCAATCTGACGAGGGATAAAGACGACTATCATCAAAAATGCGATAAACGTGTCGGAGTCATTTTTGTACAAGAAGCTCCAGAGTTTAGGTGTAGAAAATGATCAGCAGTGTCAACTTCAGGAAACAACTTTCCCCGGTCCAAAGCCTGCGGAAATCACGTCAACATCCTTCCTGTTCTCATGAGCCTTTCCCTGTTTGCTTTGCCCTTTCATTTCACTGTTTTCAGGATGGTTAAATACCGAGAAACATGTCCACAGGTTTCTTTAGTGACTGCCACACCCTGGACATTAATGTATGTATGTATGCAGCCATCATGTACTGCGGTCAACTCAGCCGTCTCTCGCATTTGCTTGGTCAAATGAGCAGCGCTTCATTTTTGAGTGCGCGATTAATAGCGTCTTTACGGTAATCGCCGAGAAGTGGCGCTGACGGTAGTACAAGTGCTTATGCTATATTTGATCAATCAATCAATGATATTTGATGAGGGTTAAAATGATTTTTAGCCATATATTCTTAATCAAATTGGTACTGTTGGACTCAGTACATGTTAGACTACTACCACAAATACAATCAAGTACTTTTACTGTGTACTATTTGAGTAATACTCTGTCAAACTCCCCTCCAGAGTACAATAATGCATGTTTTCTGCCCTCTTTGATGAGAGATACAATCATTTTTTGCAATGAGTTCTTAATAAAATCGGTTATGCTGAATTCTGTACTACTTGGACTACTACCACGAGTACAATCAAGCACTTTTACTGTGTACTTTTTGAGTAATACTTGTTTAAACTCCTGTCCTGAGTACACAAAAGAATGTATTCTGCTATCTTTGATGAGAGATAAAAGGATTTTGTGCTATAAGTTCTTAATGAAATTGGTACTGTTGGATTCAGTACTACTTGGACTACTACTAAAAGTACAATCAAGTACTTTTACTGTGTACTTTTTGAGTAATCCCCTGTCAAACTCCCCTCCAGAGTACAATAATGCATGTTTTCTGCCATCTTTGATTTGAGATAAAAATGATTTTGTGCAATAAGTTCTTAATGTAATTGGTACTGTTGGATTCAGTACTACTTGGACTAATAGCACAAGTACAATCAAGTACTTTTACTGTGTACTTTTTGAGTAATCCTTTGTCAAACTCCACCCCTGAGTACAATAATGCATGTTTTCTGCCATCTTTGATGAGAGATAAAAGGATTGTGTGCAATAAGTTCTTAATGAAATTGGTACTGTTGGATTCAGTACTACTTGGACTACTACTAAAAGTACAATCAAGTACTTTTACTGTGTACCTTTTGAGTAAACCCCTGTCAAACTCCCCTTCAGAGTACAATAATGCATCTTTTCTGCCATCTTTGATGAGAGATAAAAGGATTTTGTGCAATAAGTTCTTACTGAAATTGGTACTGTTGGATTCAGTACTACTTGGACTACTACTAAAAGTACAATCAAGTACTTTTACTGTGTACCTTTTGAGTAATCCCCTGTCAAACTCCCCTCCAGAGTACAATAATGCATGTTTTCTGCCATCTTTGATTTGAGATAAAATGATTTTGTGAAATAAGTTCTTAATTAAATTGGTACTGTTGGATTCAGTACTACTTGGACTAGTAGCACAAGTACAATCAAGTATTTTTACCGTGTACTTTTTGAGTAATCCTTTGTCAAACTCCACCCCTGAGTACAATAATGCATGTTTTCTGCCATCTTTGATAAGAGATAAAAGGATTCTGTGCAATAAGTTCTTAATGTAATTGGTACTGTTGGATTCAATACTACTTGGACTACTACCAAAAGTACAATCAAGTACTTTTACTGTGTACTTTTTGAGTAATACTCGTTTAAACTCCTGTCCTGAGTACAATAATGCATGTTTTCTGCCATCTTTGATGAGAGATAAAATGATTTTGTGCAATAAGTTCTTAATGTAATTGGTACTGTTGGATTCAGTACTACTTGGACTACTACCAAAAGTACAATCAAGTACTTTTACTGTGTACCTTTTGAGTAATCCTTTGTCAAACTCCGCCCCTGAGTACAATAATGCATGTTTTCTGCCATCTTTGATGAGAGATAAAATGATTGAACTCCCTTCCAGAGAACAATAATGTATTCTTTTTTTACCACGTCAAATTCCTCGTACGTGTAAACCTACCTGGTAATAAACATGTTTCTGATATATAATAAGCGTTAGAAAAATGTTCTTCAAAATACTGACTATGTTGGACAGAGTATTTTAACAGGATATGGTAAACACATGATATGAACACTAGATCCACTAGATCAGTACTCCAGCAACAGCATTGTTACACTTTGGAAAGTCTTTAGAGACTGGCCTGGATAGCTGTTCACAACTTTCCTTCAGCACAGTGACACACCCTTGTCACTCTTGTTGGCCTCTTATGACGCTGCATGTCTTTTAATATATGTATAATATATTATTTCTCTGCCCCTAGTTCTTTCCTTGCAGATTCTTCAGTCTCATCAGCCTCATCAATCCATCAGTCCCAGTCAACGTCTTCAGCCTCCAGCACACTTTCCCTGTACAAGGCTCATATCCCATGATCACAACACCTTATATTATCCTGTCTTTAACAAAATGTAAAGTCCTTCTACTGCACCTTTTGAAGACTCCAAAACAGGCATTTGTACTGTATGTGTTTGGAGAAATTATACAACAAATGGCCCAGATTTGTACTATAGAAAATCGAAATCTTGTAATGTAGGAAACAATTCACACTGGCTACCATGTGATATAGGCTTTGTTTTGCAATATTTATTCAACGGTCACTTCTTAGTTAAACAAATCTCAAATATACACTGAACAAAAATATAAACGCAACACTTTTGTTTTTGCTCCCATTTTTCATGAGATGAACTCAAAGATCTAAAACATTTTCTATATACACAAAATAACCATTTCTCTCAAATATTGTTCACAAATCTGAAAAAATCTGTGATAGTGAGCACTTCTCCTTTGCCGAGATAATCCATCCCACCTCACAGGTGTGGCATATCAAGATGCTGATTAGACAGCATGATTATTGCACAGGTGTGCCTTAGGCTGGCCACAATAAAAGGCCACTCTGAAACGTGCAGTTTTGCTTTATTGGGGGGGTCTGGGGGGGTCCGAAAACCAGTCAGTATCTGGTGTGAGGGGTAGGGTTAGGGTTAGGGGTAGGGGTAGGGTTAGGGTAATGTTGTGAATTGAGTGGCCCATGGTGGTGGTGAGGTTATGGTATGGGCAGGTGTATGTTATGGACGACGAACACAGGCCACTCGATTCACAACATTACCCTAACCCTACCCCTACCCCTACCCCTACCCCTAACCCTAACCCTAACCCTAACCCTAACCCTACCCCTACCCCTCACACCAGATACTGACTGGTTTTCGGACCCCCCCAGACCCCCCCAATAAAGCAAAACTGCACGTTTCAGAGTGGCCTTTTGTTGTGGCCAGCCTAAGGCACACCTGTGCAATAATCATGCTGTCTAATCAGCATCTTGATATGCCACACCTGTGAGGTGGGATGGATTATCTCGGCAAAGGAGAAGTGCTCACTATCACAGATTCTTTCAGATTTGTGAACAATATTAGAGAGAAATGGTTATTTTGTGTTTATAGAAAATGTTTTAGATCTTTGAGTTCATCTCATGAAAAATGGGAGCAAAAACAAAAGTGTTGCATTTATATTTTTGTTCAGTGTATATTCTAAATATATCAAATTGAGCATATAAATGAAAACTCTTTCACAGCAACCACATCCCCTGCTTTTTGGAAAAGTCTGGAGTCCCAGTCCCCAGCTGGTGCCTTTTTTTGTTAATATAGGACATACAGCAACCGCATGTTCATGCACAAACATTATTTGTCACACAGAGAGCAAACCCAGTCCCCAACTTGTGCCTCTTCAAGAGACTTTTGGTCCATATGCAGGCACTGTGTGTGGCACCACCGGAAACAGCTGTCACACTGAATCTGCAATAGAAGGAGTGGAGACAAATGAGAGTAAAGCCCTGCTTATAACAGCTTTGAGCAATGGTCAACTGCATCCCTCAAGTGTTTGTATTTAGTTTCTGCTTTCATTTAATGCTTTTCTACAAATCTAAATTGTGAAATATCTGAAGTCTCAATATTCATTAAACCTTACCCAGTCAGTGTGGGTGTGATGTGGCACTGAGCCGGGTGGTTTTATGCCGGCGCACATGGCACAGTTGACTTCTTTGTCAAACACTGATGAAAAAAAATGCTAATGTTACATCTCAAGTACAACAATATCAGAATTGAATTGATATTTTGAAAATGTAGCACGCACCTGATGCTGTCAGTATTTCCATGGCCAACACTTTTCTTTGATGCGCCATCTCCTTTTTTGTGGTCCCAAAGGCCATTGTTGGTGTTTTAGGAAAGACTTCCATGACCTCCTTTGCCATCTTAAAGTGATACACCATGTTATGTTCTTAAAATAACTATCCAACTACCCCAAATGTGTTTTTGTGAAAGGCAGTAAAACAGACTTAATCCTAAAACCTGAATGAATGTTATATTAGCAAAAAGCATATATGAAAATAAATATTCCACTTACCATGCAGACAACTACCCCACAGCTATTGCCATCCTGCTGTACTGGGTGTTTCATTACTCCTCTCTTCCATTTTATGTCTACCCAGTCTGTCTTACTGCAGCAGGTCCTCCTCATTTTGAAGTAATCACTGCGTTAGATAAGATATATTATTAATGTACAATGCATACTGTATAAATACAATACTCGCATTATAACATAAATCCTTGTCACACTGTGTCTCAGCAGTCGAGTAACACAATTTGAAGTGATGTTAATGCATGTTTCCCAAATGTATATTTTAAGATGTAACATGCAGACACCTACAGTAGTCTGATGTCAAAATGAATTGACAATTGTTCACTCTAAGGACAGGTTGTTTATTCATTTATTGGGTGTTATGGTATAATCGGTATGGACCAAAGTCAAACATGCACACATTTTTCACACATTATATGTTCTGGTGTAGTAGTACATCAATTAAAAAAACAAAAGGGCTGGTTGTGGCAATATAGCTGATCCATCTATTCCCACATAAATATAACAATAAATATAAACATTATATATGAGGGAATAGAATGAAATAAATATTTTTGAAAAATAGGTGAAATTGGATGCAGTTAGTACCTGAATTTGTTGGCAGCATTGTCTGACTCTGCCTGCTCTGCAGAGTTGCGTGCAGGATCTGCCAAATACACTGTGCTTTCTTCAGCATTGATGTACTGTGGACACAGAAAAAGAAATATATATATTTTGAAATAAACACAACATCTCCAAAAACTTAGCTGATCAAGAAATATACAATTATATGATATAGACACTACTAACCAGAAATTTCCAGTGTATACCGTCTACATGTACAAAGGACACAATGGCTCCATAGCTGTCAAAGTGTATCTGTAATACATAAGAACAAAACAACTTCCATTTCCCATCAGGCTGTATTTGTTTTCTTTATACAGTAGAGTCAAATAGCTTGATAGAGTATGTTTATATTTAGACAAAGACATAATGAAAACCTTTGTAGTTATCCTCAATAGAAACACAAGTTACCTTTGACAAAGTGTGCTTCATGACCTCTTCTCTTTTCCCAAAGAGGATCACACCAGCTGAGTAGTGGTTGAGAATATAAATCCTCGTCCCCAGTTCACATTTATGTGCATGTATATGGAAAAGACACTCGATGATCTGGAGAGAATGTCGACAAGCAGACATTAATAAGAAATACAATTATATTAAATAATAATGTAGTTGACAGGTGTTAAGTTTCGTTGATAAAAACAGAAAATTATAACAGTGAATGACCACATTTGACTACTTCTTCTTGTGTACAATAAAAGTTAAATATTCAACTGTGGATGCCTTTTAAGATTCACTTTTAAAAACAGTTTAATACATTTTAGGCTTTGGGTGCTAACAAGACTTCAGTGGTGTGCCATGAAGATAGCGTTACATGAATATTGGATTAATGTGTAGTGAAGAGACTTGGTATGAGCACTGGTTCTGTCCTATGATATGGATGAAATACCTCGCCTGTCAGCCACTGGTGTGGTCTGAGGGTCCGCATGTCAGAGTGACGGATGGTAAAACTGTTGGCTCTTATTTGAGTGGGGACTACAGACACCACCACCTCAGTGTCCTTTTTTTCCCACAACGCGGTCAGCTGGGGGTCACAAAAAAAATACTATATCATTTTTATGTCCCAAAGCTAGATTGTTAACAGAGCATGAGATACACATTGTAAATTGAAAGGTATTATTTTATAACGTTCCTTTAGCATTCCTTAAACATTCAAATCTGCATTTTAACTTTTTAGTTAATCAATTATTTTACTATTTTTATCTGGTCCCTCTGATGAACTCCCTGATGATGTGTCCTTACAGTTTCTTACCTCTGATGAAGCATCCACTTTACCTCCCTGTGCGTCATCCTCAGCATGCTCCGTCATGTCTGATGTGGATGAAGATTGACCTTGTCTTGCCTTGTCTTTTGGATCCTGTATAGAAGCCGAAACATCAACATTGCCTTTCACATTGTCCAATATGTGTTGTTAAGTGCATGTCATAGTTAATCACTTCATCACACAATTTGAATCTTCAGTTCTTCTATCATTACCTACAGTATACTAATAGAAAATGCAACATTAAGCTGTAGATTCCAAGCTGGTTTAGATGTATGTGTTTCAAATGCTTCCTGGCTTTGTTTAACCATGCTAAATGGGATTACCTGTGATGGAATATGTGCTTCCGTTTCACCTGGCGCTTGTTTTTGTAGTGGAGCTGGAGCTTTTGCTGTTTTTGTCTTCTGCATGAGCTGATAAAAACAAAGTGTTAATAACACAAATATTATAACATTTATGTTATTTTCAACAAACAGGAGAACAATGGTTTGCTCTCAAAAAATACATACATTCTTCTTGTGCTGTCTGAAAACAAAAGGCTTGTTTATGGGTGTCACATAAACTCCTCTCCTGTTCTGCTTTCTTTTTTTCCATCGCTCCATGTCCACACGATGGGTCTGCAGTTAATAAGGAATATTGACAGAGTAAATGCACTCATGAATTACCTTTCATTACATATTCTGCCATTTCACGTTATTCAATGTTGTTTTCTTTTCACAACAAACATTATCTTTGCCTGAAATAAATGTATTATTTCATTAATTATTATTCATCAAAATTATGAAACCAACTACATTCAGCATAGTTGCATCACAGTTTTGATTGGTGTATCAATATTATTGTGATATTATTAGCACACCTAATATAACTGTTAATAATGACCAAATTACCTGCAGAATAACTGTTGAGAAAATACTGAATGTACTCTTCGAATATCAGAGTAGCACATGATGACAAAGACCCTAAGTAGCTGTGTACGTAACAGGATGTGTGATTACCTAGAAGAGAATCAGGACTGTTTGAGGCATATGATAGCTATGTGATTAACATGATGATTCAGCCTCTATGGAGAGAGACATATGACAAGCATGCTCATTTCTGTCGTGAGCCTTAGCTAATCTGAACTAAACATTGTATACTGCTTTGAACTGGTATTCCTCCATCTTGTGACGGTGTAAAAAGTCTGTCTACAAGTCTCTTATATATAAAGCTTGTGAAGGACACTGCTCTGTGAACTATTTGTACCAAATGTTCTGTACGTGATGAATACTTCCATTCTTGCAAGGATAATAAATACATGTATCCTGATTATTGAAACTCAAGCCAGTGGCGAGTGATATTTTCCTAATCGATAGCAATGCTTAATGACTAGGGATAAATGTGATAACATAACAGCCATATATAAATAACAAACTGTACCTTCTTCCCCCTCCTCAGAGAGTCGCCATATTCCCTTAGCAGGGCGCTCAAGGTGACTTTGTATGTATGTACAAAATCGTCCAGCCTGGTCAGACGTCTCCGTTGAAAACGGATCTTTTTGAGGTCCCACTGGCTTTTTTCCATTATCCCTTGAGTTTTGTTGTCCTCTGTGTAATTCTGCGGTTGAACATATTAGTTACGGTACATCAAATTATATTGTTAACAATCACTTGGATTACATACTGTTTACATTGCAGTTTATAATATTGATTATAGAATAATGCATTGAAATTCAATATTACATCAAAGCTTTAGGTTTTTGTGCCTGTGTGGGTTTTTTTGCAGCATTTTTGTACTTCTGGGAAAGTTTCTGATAAATGGTCCCTGTTCCATGGCGTCCAAGGTCACCTAACCAAACAGTAAACATGCCTTATTATTTTATATTACATTACATTAACAAGCAGCTATAGAAAGACGTGCAAAATAAAACTTACCCAAGAGTAGGCCAGACCACAGACCAGCCAGGGGCAGAAAGTACTTAAGCAAGGAAGGGATGAAAGTCGGGCAGAAGTACATGTTGTCATCACCAGATTTCTCAATAACTGTTTGGGTTATTAAGTCCTCAAAATGCTGTTTGAAGGGCGTAGGTCCGATATCATTCTAGAAAAAACAATCCACAAATAACTTTAGTTGCATTGCATTGAGCTTGGGGTAATAGAAAAATATGTAAACCATGTTAATATTTGTCATTGTTTCTGGTCACACTGCCTCTGTCCTCTTTTCTGTGCTGTGTTGTACTTGAAGGTAAACAAATAATTTGTAATGATATTTTTGAGCTATGAAACAACTTCCAACATTCACATAATTATTACATACCACACAGTCTTCCACAATGGTTGAATCGTCCAAGTTTGACTGCGCTGAATTTGTCAGTAGTCCTTGGAGATTTTCAAAATGTTTTCCAACATTTCTGTCACTGTGGGAGCTGGAGAATACCACCACAGCACTGGTGACAACTTCATCCAGCTCGGACATTGTGGTGGCATTTATTAGGCAAGGCAAGGCAAGTTTATTTATATAGCACTTTTCAACACAAGGCAATTCAAAGTGCTTTACAAAAAATGAAAGACATTAAGAAAATGGCATTTAAAATCAGTCATTAAAAAGAAAAGCTAATAAAATAAACATTAAAAGAAAAAATACATGGATAAAAGTTACAGTGCAGTCTAAGATGTGAATAGTTCAATTAAAAGCAGCGTAGTAGTTTTGGTAGTAGTCCAAGTAGTACTGAATCCAACAGTACCAATTACATTAAGAACTTATTGCACAAAATCATTTTATCTCTCATCAAAGATGGCAGAAAACATGCATTATTGTACTCAGGGGTGGAGTTTGACAAAGGATTACTCAAAAAGTACACAGTAAAAGTACTTGATTGTACTTTTGGTAGTAGTCCAAGTAGCACTGAATCCAACAGTACAAATTACATTAAGAACTTATTGCACAAAATCATTTTATCTCTCATCAAAGATGGCAGAAAACATGCATTATTGTACTCAGGGGTGGAGTTTGACAAAGGATTACTCAAAAAATACACAGTAAAAGTACTTGATTGTACTTTTGGTAGTAGTCCAAGTAGTACTGAATCCAACAGTACTAATTACATTAAGAACTTATTGCACAAAATTATTTTATCTCTCATCAAAGATGGCAGAAAACATACATTATTGTACTCAGGGGTGGAGTTTGACAAAGGATTACTCAAAAAGTACACAGTAAAAGTACTTGATTGTACTTTTGGTAGTAGTCCAAGTAGTACTGAATCCAACAGTACCAATTACATGAAGAACTTATTGCACAAAATCATTTTATCTCATCAAATATGGCAGAAAACATGCATTATTGTACTCAGGGGTGGAGTTTGACAAAGGATTACTCAAAATGTACACAGTAAAAGTACTTGATTGTACTTTTGGTAGTAGTCCAAGTAGTACTGAATCCAACAGTACTAATTACATTAAGAACTTATTGCACAAAATCATTTTATCTCTCATCAAAGATGGCAGAAAACATGCATTATTGTACTCAGGGGTGGAGTTTGACAAAGGATTACTCAAAAAGTACACAGTAAAAGTACTTGATTGTACTTTTGGTAGTAGTCCAAGTAGTACTGAATCCAACAGTACCAATTACATGAAGAACTTATTGCACAAAATCATTTTATCTCTCATCAAATATGGCAGAAAACATGCATTATTGTACTCAGGGGTGGAGTTTGACAAAGGATTACTCAAAATGTACACAGTAAAAGTACTTGATTGTACTTTTGGTAGTAGTCCAAGTAGTACTGAATCCAACAGTACCAATTACATGAAGAACTTATTGCAAAAAATCCTTTTATCTCTCATCAAAGAGGGCAGAAAACATGCATTATTGTACTCTGGAGGGGAGTTTGACAGGGGATTACTCAAAAGTACACAGTAAAAGTACTTGATTGTACTTGTGGTAGTACTCTAACAAGTAGTGAGTCCAACAGTATCACTTTTAATAAGGATGTATCGCTAAAAATCATTTTATCTCATCAAATATAGCAGAAGTTGCATGATTTTGTTCTCAGGAGGGGAATTTGAGAGTATTACCCAGAAAAAAGACAGTAAAAGTACTTCATGTTATTGTACTGAGTCAAACAGTGTTCGTTTTTTTAAGAACTCATGGTACAAATAATTTGTATCGCATGAAGCAGAAAAAACATGCATTCTTTTACTCTTGCGTTGGTGCCGCTTCTCAGTGATTACCGTAAAGGCGCTATAAATCGCGCACTCAAAAATGAAGAACTGCTCATTTGACCAAGCAAATTTGAGAGACGGCTGAGTTGACCGCAGTCATC